TTACAGGACTGCACTCGTTCTCTCTCTCTCTCTCTCTCTCTATTTTCCAAACACAACTTCATGGTTTTACTGTTAGAAACATTTAAAGCTCTCTTCCACAATGGGCGCCGACCGTTCGGTCAGTTAGTTAGTCGATGATATTTGCCTCTGCCGTATGTGTGCTTTTCCCTTAAAATATGGTCGATAAATAGGAACAAGTAAAACGGCAACATTGAAATATATATTAATCACTAGAAAGTGTTGCCCTTCTCTAAATGGCAATTCTTTATGTGTGAGTGCATGTGCATGTGATACAAAATCTGTTAAATAACCAAACGAAAAATGCTTTTAGAAATGTGCGCCAAATACAAAGCAAAAACATGCAAATTATATAATAAATAAATGAGTTGCAAATATCAACATTGAATAAATACTCACATTCCTAGTTTGACTAAAAAAGTAGACAAGTTTATAATTCATTTAAGCCCTGTACATTGTGCCGAGTGTTTTGCATATAGACGAAATGCTGAGTTTGAGTACAACGGTACCATTAAACCGGAAGTGATTTGTCCGCAACAAAAGTCATTGATATTTTGCACCCACCACACGACACCAAAGACGCTCAACAACACTACCAGTAAGAATGAAAACGATAAGAAGAAGAAGTTGTTTTCACTGTGTAATATAAAATGTGTACAGCACCCTTTCTAATCCATAAATTTGTTGTTTTTATATATATAAAAGTATATCGATTTTCAAAAAATTTAAACGACGCACAACATTAAAAATAAAACAAAAAAAATTAGATGGCTCTAGCAAAAAATCTCAGACTACGAAAAATAAATGTTGCTAACTGCTTATCCATAATTTCAAGCTCTTTCATTAATGACTTTAAGCTTTTCTGTAACTTGTTTGTTTTAATGGCATAAATATGGTGATGAAATGCGTGTGTCTATACAGGAGAGTAAAATTGCGTTTTGAAAGGAGCAGGGGAGTGTTTACTCCAGTAGAATATACAAAGTGGTGCTTTGGCCTCCGAATCAGCTGAAACGTGGCCGAAAACTTACGCTGGCAATCGATATATATAGATTTTACACAGACAGAGGAGCTCAGGCCAGCATATGCTTTCTACAGTTTCTTCATAATTGAGACCTGATGAAACTATGTGCACTAAATAATAACAAAAACTTTTTAGTTTAGTTTATATACATTTTAGTTAATGATTTTCTGATATTTATTTAATAGGTTGAAGCTGAAGTTAAATTGTTCATTTCCTCCTCATCGTTTAATACATTTTTTATAATCATTTAAAACATATAAATTCTATTGGAGGCTTATATGATTATAATTTATTATATTATGTGTATTATATATATCATTAAAATTTAAATTCATTCCTGGACAAACAAAACCTCTTGTGAATACCAATTGTGTTGGTGTTTTCAGTCTGATTCATATTTTTTGGTTTGAACTAAAATGCCATCAGAATCGATACTAAATACGAATACCGAATATAGCTGCATATTGTAATCTTAAGTATTTTCAATACATTTTATATTTGATACGTACGTCTCGATACCTACGGAATATTTAAAATTGGTTAAAATATTATAAACGAAATCTAAACGATTGACTCTCGTTTGTAATTAATGTTTCGAATAAATCTTAATTAAGTATTATTTTACATATTGTCCAATCTTCAATCTAAGAAATATATTCAAATTTCCTTTTTTGTTTACTGTTATTTTCCAATGGTAAGCTCTTTTAATTGATGCTTAGATATATCAAATTATTGCAAAATTATCCACTATTGATGTGCTCAGATTTGGTTAATCTTAACTAATTTAGTTTAGTTGACAAACCCAAATTTATACGGGCGTAATACACACCGTCTTCAGTGGAGTATTTTCTTCTGCCCACCACGATAATTTAAAGCTTACCCGTATAGGGTGATATCATGTACTACTTTGATAAACTTTTTTTAGATCGTGGACGATTATTAAAATTTATGTATCAATATAAATGTCAATTTTGTTTGATGTCAACTATTCGTACTTAAATTACTCTAATGTTTGACAATATCTTTCAATCGTAAATATTGCTAATTATTCAATTAATAATTCTTTATTGGAACATATTTTTACTATCAAAGATATTCCTGTCTTGTACTTTTCTGTTTTCTGATCTAACTTCGAATAGTGTATATATATATATATATAAATCAATCAATTAATTGTCATACATGAATCAAAATAAATATATTAATAATATAATTTTAAATGGCACAGTGGAAATTATTGGTTTATTTAAAAAAGAATTGAAAAAGAAAAATTAAAATAGGCAATATTTAAACATCTGACCTCAATGACTTTGATTATACTGAAAACTTACGAAAAATGTGAAGCTACCAAATATTTTAATGCCGTGTAGATTTGATATTTTTTGGTTTGAAAATACAAAATTATTTAATTTTTTAAACATGATGCTCGTATTTGAAATCGTCAGGTCTTAAATTTTAATATACAGATATATATAACCGAATGGTTAAAGTAAACTGTTAATGTTAAGTAAAAATATTTATATTATATAATATGTATTCATATACATATTGTATTTTTTATGGCTGCATATTATAAAAGTTATTATCAGTCGTAATTTGAGCACCGAAGACCGAAATAATCTGTTTAATAGCTAGATTCCTTACTTAAATAATTTAATGTAAAAAATGTAAGTATTACTGGATCCCGGTCCAAAACCAGTTGAATCATATTGGTGAATCTCAAGAAAGAGTCTGTAGAAATTTTGCTATCGAATTTTTAAGCTCTAACTTCAAAATATTGGAAGATATAGCTTTGCCAATTCGCCAAACCATCAAGAGATCAATATATATAGTTTTTTTAGTCAGCAGTGCAGGTAAACAGTAACCTTATCTTTACTATAACCATACTAAGGACGTCGTTTTTCCCAATGAGGTATTCAATAGTAAACGTATATTTATGTTTTAACTTTTGGTCTTAGCATTAGAAGACGTCAATAGCAACGAAACTACCAAATTTTGTGATTTAGGCTTCAAAATTGTGGGAAAGCTCATTTTTTATTTCTGTCGACCCCAAAGAGAAGTTCTAGATCTCAATTTTTTAAACTATCGGTTTTTCCGATTTGTCACACAATGTGTAGGCGTAGGCATATAAATTAAATATTTTTATATACGGGTCTCATAGTTCGATTCCGTAGACGCGTTTTGGTTGCTACTTCGCTAGGGCGTATTGCGAAATCTTACCACTTACCAATAAGTATATGTTCAAATTGTTAAGTCCCTAGTTTCAATAACGGCAAAATGTTCTGCATTCAGAGACGGGCAGATAAACCGGTGGACAGGTTAAGACTAGGCTGTTATTTCTGATGAAGAATATAAATATTTTGTATATTTGCACTATATAAACATATTTAAATATGGAAATATGTACAAAAAAATAATAAATAAAAATCTACAAGATGTTAATATTCGGCATGAAACTTCATATAGGCACTTATTTTCATACAGTAAAATTTAAAAAACGATAAATGGAAGATGAGGCAACTATATGATATATATATGTTATGTTCACGTAAGCTCATCATTATTGCTTGTAAAAAAATTGTTGAACAAAAATCGACTCCAAGTAGTAAACTAGTAAATTTAGATCGGATTGGATGGGAAAGGTTGGACAGTCGAACAAAACTTTAAAAATGTGAAAAACAACCCTTATAATTCTTTGTCACACAACCACCATTTATACGTAGTGTATTCCAAACACTACAATCTTGCGCTCGTTGCCTCTCTTACTTCTTCGTTTCCTCTTATTTGACGTTTTATTCTTGAGACTGCGTAGCAATCTCTTATAGTGAAGAAGTTGCTAGTCAACACCTAATTCAAGACTATCTCCGCTTCTTCAATTTTAATTAAACATTGTAAATTTAGATCGTTGATTTTTAAACTATTGTAAAGGATATAATATCTTTGAACAATATGGATATCAGCTGTCTGATTTTTTCCGTTTGAGTATCTGCCTTTATAAACTCAGCGATCTCGTAAACCACTAAATCTAGAGACTTCAAATTTCAAATGTATACTCGTGTATACCATACGCAGTACAAGCCTTTCTTTTTTTGATCACTCATCCCATTTCCTTGTTATCGAAACAAATCGATAATTTGGCTTTGTATTTACGAAAAGACTTCAGCTCTACTGTGTAGGTTTCTCTTTGGATACCATCCCCCTACTCCCAAATTCACAACAAACAAATACTAGAAATATGTACTTTAGTAAAACCAACGAGTGTCATAATTGTGACCCGAAAATTATGAAAGTCTATTTAAAAGAAAAGTTATTAACAATTAAGTAGTAGTATATTTAAAAATGCAGACTGGTTGGGGCTCAGGGGATATCCTAGTCAAACACCCTAGATTATATCTTTCATACTTGATTCAATAAGTTTTAAGTTTTTATGAGTAAATTTCACAAACTTTAGTATGTAGATCTTCTCTTTTACATAAGAGAACCAAGAATTTAAATTAAAATAATATGAAAATAATTTTTAGTGTTTCCTGAGAAAATTTGCCTATTGTTTTTATAAATAAATATGTTATCTGTTCTAAAATTTAAGTTCACATCTGAAAAATTTGCTGTTTTCAGCCTTAAAGTTCTTCCGTAAAAGTAGATTTCCGATTTTAATCAATAAGTTATTACGGTATGTAATAATATAGATTAAAATTAAAAAAATGTTTATAACAAGCTCCCAAATAAACAATGCTTGGGGGAATATCCTTTTGTGTAGTTCAGAAAGATGTTGTCCATCGATTAATACATTGAACGTCTAGAATAGACCGTGAAGTTCCTTTGACATTAACTTAATCATGGACTTTTTATCCACTTTTGCAGATTTCACGGTCGTTATAGCGGCATTATGTAATTAGGAATAAACAAGAATGATAAGGAGTTATTATCAGTTCATATGCTCCTAAAACAGTTAATTAAACTTAATAAATAATAATAAATAATAATTAAAAGTAATGATACAACATTGAAGATCGAAACGATATCTATTTAAAACCTCGATAAAAAAGAAGCACGAATTTGAGCGAATGGCCACACGCCGGCTTAAAATAATTTTTAGAGATAGATACAGCTTACAGTCAGAAATTAGCAAAGCTAAAAATGCAAAAGGAGAACAATATGATGGCAGAGAACTGTCAATTTGTCGGTCCTTATCGTTTGGAGAAAACACTGGGCAAAGGTCAAACAGGTAAGTAACTAAAATAAACTACTTGGCAAATATAATATTATTTATCACTAATTTTGATAGGTCTTGTAAAATTGGGCGTACATTGTGTGATTGGGAAAAAAGTAGCAATCAAAATAATAAATCGTGAAAAACTGAGCGAATCAGTTCTTATGAAGGTAAGTAAATAATTAGGCACCTTCTTGATTAATAGTATTATATATATTTAACTACAAATGTATATGTTTGATATATATTTGTTTATTATAAGTATTACTAAGTATTACTAAGTAATAGAAACCCAATCATATAAATTAGAATTAAAATATTAATTTTCTTATAGAATTCATTATAGACTTACAAATTTTTATATTTTGCTTAAAGTTTATTGTTTTTTTGCAGTCGGGTGTTACCGATTGCATGAGAACCATTTATGATCCCAAACCAGTTGAATATGGAACTTTACCTCTCAAGTCGTGGTGCCAGACTGGGAGATGCACTTTCCGATCTGCGTTTTTAAATATTTTCCATAGCATCTGTGAGAATGAATATAATAGGCCCGGCTGCAGTGTTTACTTGATTTTTACTTGATTTTTATCTATCGCTCTGTCATTTTTGTAATTTCAGCATCTATAAGAGCTAGACCAAACCAAAATCGAAATGCATTTTTTAAATTTTATTTCGCACGGCTTAAGATCTAGAACCTCCAAATTTTGTAATTATGTTTATGTATATTTTCTACAATTTTTGTTTTTGTGATATTTTGGATACGGCTCCAAAAATGCCCCAATTCTTAAAATTTAAGTTAATTTGAAAATAGGGCATTTATATTAAGGAGCTTGCATCTCTACCAAGCCTCTAGAATAAGTAGATCATATGTTGAAATCCATTCATTGAAATCTATTAAGTGAAACAGATGTTATTTAACAAAACGTTTGGCCAATTTGTAAAAGCCCATGTCAAGCAGCGCCAAGCGCACGCATTTGTCCTATACATTCAAATCCGTATATTGTTTTCAATTCGAAGAATCAAAATTGCTATTGAATTGCACTTGCATTATCAGCTGCTACTTAATTTCAAATTTGCAACTCTTTCCGCAAGCAGTTCGGTTGCGGTGTTGGAAAAGGCGGCGCTCGTTACTGAAAGTTCTAGGTTCCGAGGCCAGGCAGCGAAGGTACTTTAAATTATTTTAATTATGAAGTGGCGGTGTTAGTAGAGTTGATGCGCGTTACCGTAGGCAACTTTGGCTTGAATCTCGGTATCGTAATGTCGGTTTTTATGTGTTTTTTTAATACTGTATAAAAACTATTGAAAATATTAAACAACTCAGACAGGACTGCGATCATGGTATCTCCTAGTCGGGTACCCCGACTAGAGCTTTTTTACTTGATGATTTTTATTTTAAAATTGTTATGTTTCAATAGTTTTATAAGCGGAACTACATGTGGTTTATGTATCTCTCCATTGATACAAGCTACAGACTATACTTAAAACGTAGGTCCGTCGGGTATTTTCGAGTCGGGTCTGCCCGACTTCACAAAGTTTAAATACTCTAAATATCATATTGATTTTGTGATGTCCGCCTAGATGTCCGTTTGAAAATCAAAAATAAATAAGTGGACGACTTAGGAACTTTTATTGTATACTCCCTTTGAAGACGTGGAAATTCAGGAAAATGTGTTCAAAGCTCAAAGTTTTGGAGCTAGAACTTCATAATTTGATTGATATGTTACTGTAGAGTTCCTTGTTAGTGTGACAGAAAATTATGTAAAAATTCCTATTTTACTTTAGCAAATTGAAAATAAAATGTTATATGAGTAGTGAAACTAAATTTTGTACACTGCAGTATTCATCTTACCTTTTACACAATTATATTATATTGCCTACTACTATGCTAGTTTCGTGCATTTTCCGTAAAGTAGTCAATTTTTGTAAACGTTAGTTGGGATACACAACTAAAAGTCTTAGTGATCTAGGTACCCTTGTTATATAAAGGGGAAGTTTATTCTATCTAATTGATTGATTGATTGTTATATTTATGATAAATGATTAGTACATTTGAACAATTTTTGCATGCTCGTATCACCACAATTTATTTTTGTAAGATAATACAATAAATTTTTAAGTATTCAGTTTAACAGCTGCCTGTTGCTTATTGTTGCTCTAACCACAATGATATTTATTTAAGGTTGAACGAGAAATTGCCATCATGAAATTAATCGATCATCCGCACGTTCTGGGCTTGAGCGATGTTTATGAGAATAAGAAATATTTATACCTGATACTGGAGCACGTTTCTGGCGGCGAGCTTTTCGATTATCTTGTTAAAAAAGGACGGCTAACACCAAAAGAGGCGCGGAAGTTCTTCAGGCAAATCATATCCGCACTTGACTTTTGCCATTCACATTCAATATGGTAACTAGTTAATTAAAGAATAGGTCATTTTCAATTGTTTTTGATTTACATACACTTGCAGCCATCGCGATTTAAAGCCCGAAAATTTGCTGCTGGATGAGAAAAACAATATTAAGATAGCGGATTTTGGTATGGCCTCTCTACAACCAGCTGGGAGCATGTTGGAAACCTCATGTGGATCTCCACATTATGCATGCCCAGAAGTAATACGGGTGAGTTTTTGAAACGCAGAGACTAATGGGTTTTTATTTTCCATTATGGGAAAATATTTTTGTTATGTTTTTGTTTTTGTTTTACTATGAAACACAATTTAATATTTGTTTTTAGTAATTATGCTATTGTAATAGGTAAACAGCTAAATATACCACCAATTATATATATAATTGTAGCATACATTACAATAATAATACAATAATGTATTTCATCAAACAATAAAGAAGGAAACTTTAAGGTGGAGCTGGAGTGCGCAACTGAGACAATCTGAACTTCGCAAAAACCTGCAATTCCAATAATTCTACACTTCTCTTATACATATAACATAACTTACATGATTAGTTAAATTTCATATTGATAAATGTTTTCTGATGTACTTTCATGATATAGTTACAAAAAAATAATCTTTGATATGAAGTTTATGAAATGAAGATGTTTTGAATTTTTCGTAAAAAAATTAGAATAACTAAAACTGTAAAGCGGATATATATGTATATATATATATATATATATATATATATATATATATATATATATATATATATATATTTATATATATATATATATATATATATATATATATATATATATATATATATTTATATATATATATATGATTACAATATTGTGCAGTAGATCATTTTGTTCTTAAAGATTTTTTATTTTTATAGAATATATATATATATGTTTTATTACTTTCTTAAAGTCTGAAATTATATTAAAAACAACTTTATTCTTTTCATTGCTGCCACAAGGGTGAGAAATATGATGGACGTAAGGCGGATGTTTGGTCATGTGGTGTCATTCTCTATGCTCTACTTGTGGGTGCGTTACCTTTCGACGATGACAACTTGCGTCAGTTGCTCGAGAAAGTTAAACGGGGCGTATTTCATATTCCGCACTTTGTTCCACCCGATTGCCAGAGTTTGCTTCGTGGCATGATTGAGGTTAATCCAGATAGACGTCTAACGGTGAGTCATAATATATAAGTACGAAAAAACGTAAATGCAGGACATTCTCCATTCTTACTTGTTTTATTTATTTTATAAACATGCTGGATATATAAATAGATTAAAACTATAGAGTATATTTAAAATGCAGATCCATCGGGCTCCTAGTTGACGTGGTGTTCTTGGTAGAGGTGATTCTCGCTGTTGAGGAAGTTTTAATTCGAGTTCTGGTGTCATAATGTTGGGTTTTCTTATTTTTTTTGTTTTCTTTTTATACCCTGATCCCATTAAAAATGGGAAATCAGTGTATAATGGACTTGTACAAATGTATGAAACAGGTAGAAGGAGGTGTGGCAGACCGCATAAGGTATATATATTCTTGACCACTACGATAAGCCGAGTCGATTCAGCCCTGTCCGCCTGTCTATCCGTCCGTCCGTCTGTCCGTTTGTGTGAACGCGTCAATCTCAGCATCTATAAGAGCTAGAGACTAAAATTTGGAGGTCCGTGTATAGCACGCTCATACGGATTAAGGGCTAGAACCTCCAAATATTGTATTTATGTTTTTGTATATTTTGAATACCGACATGTGCTTTTATAAATTGGCCAAAAGTTTTGTTTAATAACTTCTGTTTTACCTAATGAATTTTATTGAAATTTTCTGCTTATGATCTACATATTCTATTGATTTTGGAAATGCAAATACCTTCACACAATATCCCTTTTTTCCACTGAACTTAAATTCTAAGAATTTGGGAAAATTTGGAGCCAGTATCCAAAATCCAACAAAAATTAAAAGTGCAAAAAATATACATAAAACTAAATACAAAATTTGGAGGCTCTAGCTCTTACGACGTACAAGTTATAATTTATTAACTGCATTTCGATCATGTTGTTATTCGGTAACAATTAAATGGGTATAGTTAACGAACATATGAAACAAACTTGATATTCGCGTGCAAGAGTATAAAAAAAAACAAATAAAAATCGATATGCACGCGCATATCAAGCTTGTTTCCTATGCACTCATAATTTCAAATGCGTGTATCATTTTCTATTCGAAGAATCGAAATTGCGATTGAATTGTACTGAATGCAACATTTACAGACCTTATCTTCAAAGATGTACACGCTATAATTTAATAACTGAGAACGTTTCGATAACATTTTTAATTATTAACATAAAAATGATAAAAATGATATGATATATAATGTAATATAATTTGAATCAAAGTTGATCTGTAGGGTTATAGACAAAAAAAAATTGCAAGTCTCTGACGGTATAATACTTGTTATACAGTTTTACCCGCCTTTTGATCTATGGTTACAAGAGTTTATATTACAAATAGCTGGCACTCCAAATAATATAGATTTTGTTATACTAGATATAGTATTTCCCAATTTAATACGCTTCCAGTATTCGTATCGGCAAAATCTAATCACATTTTAAGACGAGACGTATTAACGAGTATATGGTCAATATTTCTATATTTCCAATAGTTTCGAAATGAGACCTATGGGCGAACAATAACAACAAGAAAGATGGCCATATATAAAGAATCAATATACTCAAATGCCAACTAAACTTAAATAATATCTATCTTTTTAGTTTCTAAGATCTATTGTATTTATTATTTGTGATATTTATATGCTATTTAGTTGGCCGAAATAAATCGACATGCCTGGGTCACGGCTGGTGGAAAAGGTGAGTTGGAGCTGGAACTGCCCATGATGGAGGTGGTGCAAACACATGTTATCCCCACAGCTACCGCTGTAGATCCTGACGTTTTAAACGCTATATGCTCGCTGGGTTGCTTTAAGGAAAAGGAAAAACTCTTACAAGAGCTGTTAAGCGCTAGGTGCTGAGTCAATCATGTTGTATGAAAAACCGATTAACATCTCTTTACTTACAGCCATAATACAGAAAAGGTTATTTATTTCCTGCTCCTGGAACGAAAGCGCAGGCGCCCTGCTCTCGAAGATGATGATGAAATTGCACAAAAATCACGCAATGAACTTGATACTGTGGATCCACCACGTAAAAGGCTGGATAAATGTCGAATCAACGGCACCAACGCGCCGAGCTACGGACAGATTTCTGAGGGCTCACCACTTACACCTCGACGACAGGCCTTTAAGTGAGAATATTGAAATTTGTTCATTACACTTTAGTTGTTTTAATTATTAATCAATAGCTTTAGATCATACAGCAGCACACGTAACCATCAACGACGCTCACCTACGACGGTCTCAACGTCAGTACGCAGCTCCTCATATCACAGCCCAACACGTTGTAACTCGCCAATAAGCTTAGCGCAACAGCAGGTTAATGCTATATCGCGGCCTACCTCACCTGCCACAGCTTCACGTCATTCAACTTATGGTGATAGAGACCGTTCCGGAGCGGTACATCATTCAACGGTCAGTCGAACCCCGTCTCATAATTCACAGAAAAGCATTGAGGGAGATGTAATAGTCGTTAGGGAGCCGCGCCTGGAGCGCCGTGATTCAGCACGCCAGACTCAGGAACGCAGTGGCAGTGGTTCTCCTCGCGACCGTGGCGAATGCGCGCTGTTGTCTAGCAGTCCAGGCGGCGATTCGTGTGGGAATTCCGCTACAGCATTACCAACGGTGCATCATCGGGCTAATTCTGGTCCGACAATAGCCATTGGTATGATTGAAAATTACGTTTCTTAGACCTTTTTGATTTAAAGCATTCACATTATTTCTATTAATTTATTAACAGTTGTGAATCCAAATGTTTCGCCGTTGCTCAATAATAGTAATCCTGGCATCTCTGGCTCACCCTGCAATACGCCTGGGGGTCAACTTTGGAAAACGCGACTGACCAATATCAAAAACAGTTTTCTTGGCAGTCCGCGTTTTCATCGAAGGAAAATGCAGGGTATTTTTGAATTATATTCAAGTTTAGGTTTTTAAACTGATCGATTTACATATTTACATATTTCAGTCTCCGCTGATGAGGTGCATTTAACGCCGGAATCATCACCAGAGCTTACTAAACGGTCTTGGTTTGGAAACTTAATAACTACAGAGAAGGATGAGACATTTACCATATTGGTAAAAGGCAAACCTATTGCCACAGTCAAGGCACATTTGATACATGCATTTTTATCCGTAAGACCCTTATAACCTAAATAATAAAAAACTAGTCAACTAATTATCCTAACATTTACCGATTATGATTTTGGAAATTAAAAAACTATAATAATGTACTTTGATTAAGTTTGTTCATTATATAGTGCAGTTCCGTAAAATTAAGTGATTATACTTTTAAAAAGAATCCGTAATTGAAACAAGTTTGCCATATTCGACTATAAGTCTATTAGTATGCAAGCTTGTCTTAGCATTGCTCTTTACGAGCCTGCAAGTATTGTTTTTTACTAGCCGATCTTTTTTGTGTACCATAAAATCATTAGGGTGCTAGACACTTGATATTTTAAGTAGTTGTTATTTTACGCAGAGAAAGTTTTTTATTTATGTTTTTTATATATGATACTATTTGAATAATATTGACGGAAACTGATAATTCCAGCAAGAATTCAAGTGCATATAACTTCAAAAGAAACTTTTCCTGCCACGCGCTCGTGTTTATTGATATATATATATGTATGCAAAATGCAAGGAATAATTGGAATAGTACTTCTTAGCAGAGTTCAGAGGAAAATGGCAAATCAAAAAACGTATCTTGCACAAAGCATTAGCTGTGAATTTAATAATTACGTTACTGGAGACTTCATTTCATAGTGATGATGACTTAGGGCGTAGTAAGTTTGGAAAATATTTATTTCGAATTTGTTCACATAAAATATCATATTGCCGGTTGATGACCTTCTCAACAGACAAAAAATTTTAATTTTCCTCCTATTGGAACATATCGAATTCGAAAATATCGATTTTTAAATACTCCTAACTGTTTCAGAATCGTAAAGGAATATTATGCAGATGGTCGTGCGCTACGATAATATTCTTACTTGATTGTTTTTCTACTCTTTAAATATTTAAAACGAATATAACTGGATATTTACATTTATAGACGTTTCATGTATAACCAATCGTAATTTTTTAATGTACGTTTTTCAATTGCATTGCCTTATAATTAGCTTTGAAGCGAAAATTACTCAAAATGTATATTTTAAGGAATAAGAAAAAAATACACTTAATAAATAAACTAACTATAAAATCAAATTTACAAATCTACATATGGAAAAGGAAGAACGTGATAAGTTATCAAAACAATATGATAGACTCTTCCTGGGTATAGAAAACAGGAAATTATATTTAAAATTTCAAGTCTCTACCTTTTGTGGATAACGAGATCACTGCTTAATAAGGGCGGACTGACATTTTTACAAAAAGCCCTCCTGAGTTTTATATGGAAATTTATATATTCAAAATACTGATAGATTTAAAATAAAATATGTTTTATTTTGGTTTTCTTTAAGTATCAAATGTTTATTATCTGCCAAAACGCTGGCTACATTCAAGTGAATTAGCAAAAACTGACCTACGTATACATTACAAACATATTTTTATACTTAATCCGATGGAATATGTATTTTTGCACAGTTTAAAGATGCATATGTATTTTTCTAATTATATTCAAATCTTACAGATGGCAGAGCTATCACATAGTGTAGTATCACCCACATCGTTCCGCGTAGAGTACAAACGCAACGGTAATGGCTCTGTAATGTTTCAACGCCATGTAAAGTTTCAGGTATGTATCCCAAATTATTGTCACCTACGCAAGCAATACTATGCTTTCTATGAAATAGGTTGACATCAGTCCTATATGCAAGCAAGGCGATATAGCGGATATGCTATTCGCTTTAACATTTACACTCTTATCAGGTGAGTAATACTATTCAATTTCTACAGAATAGCTTACAAATAGCACCCGTTTGTGATACTACTAGGTTATCTTTCCTTCCTCCATATAAAATAAATCAATCAGTTACAGTAAGCTTCACTAAGCAATGTAGAATAATATTACCACTTGTTTAACAGTCTGGGAAAGAAATAAATCAGTGAAATATTTGACGATAACACTCCATAAAGTATAATGACATGCAAACATACAAGGAGATACACGATATAATAGACTAATATTAGTAAACGCAAGACAAAGCATTCGATTTAAATGACTTGACATTGATTTGGAAACATAGAAGGTCAAAATATTTATGGTTTGTTGCCGATTTATAACAAGGAACGAAGAGTTGTTCAGTAATTTAATTGTGGGGGAACTAGTGAGCATGAGAGAGTTAATTTAACACATGGAATCTCAACATCATTGGCTGAAGTAACTGAAGTAGAAGTAACTAGATTATTACGAACTGTTATAAATGATGAGATGGAGCCCGGGGTTACTGATTTGGTACAATGTTAGAGATTGCGTGTACTAAAGTAAAATTAAATAAAATATCCTAAAAAAAGCTCACTGAACTAACAACTCTCTCCATTTTTTATATAGGTAACATCCGGCGTTTTCGACGTATTTGTGAGCACATTCAATCTCAGGTTTGTTCAAAACGTTTCCCGGGCCCAAGCAGTCCTCCAACAGTAGCTTCAGTCACTCAAGCGGTGTCAGAAAGCTCCTCATGTGGATCAGTGTCGAGCGAACGGTTATCCTATAAGCGACAGGTGGTAAGCCTCCTATTAAAAAGATTTCCCTAATAACGGATAATTATTATTAAATTTTGTTTATAGATTGAAAATGATTTGGAAAGTGATTCCATATTTTCATACAAATCTGGAAGTGGTCGCCGCGCTTCGACGACGAATAACAACAATCCGAATCCAGTGGATATAACCGGCAGTCCCATTGCAGTCCGATCAAAGTAACTAATTGCACGATCTGAATTAACTAAATGAAAATTATATTGGATTTTTCACAGTTCTGAAACAGCTGAGCATGATCGCAACCGACAGGCGACAACGATGTCCGGAAGTTCAATTGCATGAGAATTATTTCTCTGATTTAGTTGCGTTTTTCCAATGATATTTATTTTCATTTATCTTTTACATAATGAACTACACTCTATAAGTAAGCTATTAATTCGAACAACTGAATATGCATTACATTGAAACATAGCTTGTGGAAAAACCGAAATGGAGGAATAATTTGATAATTAAAAAAACGTGCATACGCCTCCTCAAGCGAAAAAATGGGTTTCTTTGCTGTTAATCGTATTTAAATAAATTATTTTAATTTAATTGCTTATAATAAACAATATTTTATATAAAGGTTTTTTATGTACACTGTTGCCGCCGCACTAATCAAGCTTACAAATACAACTAAAAAACTATGTAAAACTAACAATTAAAAAATATGATCAGAAAATATTGAAAATGTTACCAACTGCTAATTAATAAGCCCCAGCTTAAGTCCCAATGTTAAACTATAGAATAATATAGTATAGTAATACTATTAACTTTGATATTAGATATGCCAATTTAATAATACTTATTAAAAAAAAAACTTTTAAGTACAGAAGGCTTCATATTGCTCGTCTTATATGAAAATCATGCTTCACATATATATACGAAAACAAGTAATAAAAAATATATATATGTGCTTTTAGCACATGCATACACCATACAGAAACTGTAAACGGACTATTAAGACTTGGCCTTGCAGATAAAACCTATGTTTTGTGCTGTTACTTTATTAAATTATAATTTACTGCAAAGGAAATATTCGCTGAAGGAAATCTGAGTTTCTATGATTGGGCATCCTATAGCCTGGTTGAAAACTCAGTAAAAATACAATAAATACAAAATAAAAAAAATTGTCTGGTACCATCGAAAACATAAACAATAGGTCTGGAAATACTTTATAGGCACATATACAAAAATGATCGAATAGATTCGGCTTTATGTAATGTTTGATTTGCTTTGTTCAACGAAACTTATCTTGAATTATCCAAAGATCGAGATATAAATCAATAAATTTTGGGAAGCCTATTCACGTTTAATAAAATATAGTAAACACTAAAACACATGGTTTGTCAAAAGCAACTATTGTGACTATTATTATCGACATAATACTTTAAGCTTACTTTCTGAAGATAATGTATTGTAAAGGCTTATCTTTTCTAAGTTTCAATAAAAAATCAGAGAAATAAATACCAGAATTGAAGGACACATATATACTCTTTTATTAGCCTAGTATTTCAACGAAACAGAGAAGCCGTGGATTTTTTACACACAGATTTAATCATGCACAGTCGTTCAGTAAAAACTTACTAATTTGATATATAGATCAGTACTATTATATAGAGAGAAATGTTCATTACTTGACCACGTTTGTATGATGAAAGTCTGATATCTCTTCAAATTCTATACCAGCGTTTCTTAAATAATAGTGCTTAATACAATCGTTAGATCATTCCAGTAAGTCGTATGAATGAATAACAAAAGTAAAAAATATGTGGTCTCTTATGACCAAATATAGTACATAAAAATTACTGCTTATCGACTTAAGAAAATCTTATTTTTTTTGGCTGCATTCCACCTTAAAACCAGGGACTATCCCGCATTAACTTTCAAGGCGAAACCCTTGTATGCTCTGTCTGAGCACTACCATACGTGATCCGAGCCCAGGTTCCATACAAACTAAAGACATTAACCACAATATATAATATATATCGACTAAATGTCCTTTAATTTGCTTCCAAAGATAACAGTATATTGTGGAAGAGTGAATCTTCGTCTATTACGAGATTAAAATAGAGCCCTAAAACCTGCCTAATTCATACAAGTTATGGATGTATCAGAAATATGAACATGGTATTACTAAGATTTATTTTATAAGACACATCTTTTCAGTAATATTCACTTAATATTTTAACAGCCCAATTTTTTTTTGTAACTTTTTATTTGTCTCTGGCATACCCTAGAATATTTAAAAAGTTTCAAGTCTTAATTTGATCAGTAATGGAAATGTAATCTTCTGATATTCATTTAAGTTCTAATATCAAAACTAAAAGTGTTTATACAGATAATAAATATTGTTACTCTCGATATGTTATACCTTATATATTATATTGAAACTTTATCTGATATAAGTATTCTCGAATATGCTTTCAAAATCTCAAGACCTAAGATTAAATGTAGAGCCTACTGACTGTCGCCAGAATATATGGTAATGGGTTGACAAAATGATAAAATTATGCCTAGCAGAAAATTAACATACTCATTTCTCTCACAAACATACACACATACACACGCATACACCCACACACCACACACATGTAATGCTGTTAATATTTACGTTTCGAGCTTTCATCAACAAATGAATATATATGAAAACGGATATATTGTAATGATTTTGTGAAAATGTATGTAACCCTATAAAGTATATAGATTCTTAACCAAGATAACAAACAAAGTCGATACAATTATAATCATCAGTCCCCGTATACACTACCGTTTCTTAATTTTTGTTCGATAACTCATATTTTTCTTATTATAGAAAAAATAGATAGTTAGATTTTGTTATTTAAACGTAGCTTGAAATCTGTAAAAGCCGAATATTGTAAAATTAATGTAATGAATATATAGATATGTATATATCGGATTTTAGATACTTCTTATTCCCAACCAATTCGCAAAATATGTTTTCTAAATACTTATGACTTAAGCTTTAGTAAGTAGACACATCTGGATGATAATATTATAGCCATAGTTCAGATAGAGCGAAAGTTGTTGGGCAATAAAATTTATGCTGCGTAAACAGCGCTGTGGGCAAAGCGTGTGCTTTTGAGTGCGTGTATCGTATGTGTTATTATGAGTGCTACCATATGTATTTATACGAGAACGATTGGAATAACAGCTTTTCGCAGGGAATGTCCTAATCAGGGTTTCTCTTAGTCGAACACTCCTACTCTTACTTGCTAAATTATTAATTCCGGGTATAATAAGTTTTAAATTGTATATTACAGGCATAAAGAGATTTGATTGACCCCACAAAGTATCTATATTCTTAATCAGGAACCACAGCAGAGTCTATTATGTTCTCTGAGGTTGTCTGTCCAACCGTCCATCTGCCTACCTAGATACTTTAAGTTTTTACACATATCCACATGTAGGTTAACTTGATTGCACATAGAATCTTTTTCTTTTGATGCAGAAGATTCAAGTGCGAATCATATGGGGCTAATTTTGATTGTAGACTTTGATGCTACATACATACATAGTAAATTTAAAAAAAGTTTGTGCTACAACACCTTTCTTATTTGTATTATTATATATATTTTTTAAAACTTAATGAAATTGAATTGAAACAAATTAAGCAAATTCAAACTGCAACCGTCCATTCTCCAGTTTAACTAAGAAAATTCAAAAAGTTTAGAATAATATATGCCTGTCAAGTTATATTCATACAGTACAGAACAACCCAGGTTACCCTACCAGTACTACAGCTGAAATGTTTGGTGAAGTAAATAGCAGCAATATTATAACAACATCTACCATTTTAGCTTGTAAGGAAAGTAAATTAACTTTACTATTATATGCAAATATAAATAGGCTACGCCAAATACAAAAGGATCAACACTAAAAAGCATATTTTGTATAAAACTGAAAATAAATCAATATACATATATATTTAGTACATATGCATACTTAATTTAACATACATATTTATATATAATAATATAAAGTCTACAATTGTTAAAAAAAAAATCAAATACATTTCCAAATATTCAATTGAAAATAATTTATGCTATAGCTACATCCTAATACTTTTTTAATTTTGCGCGATTATTTTTGGGTAACAAGCTTATTTTCAGAAGAATCGTATTTAATAACGTCTTTAATGCGCAATTGGTTGCATTTTTGATTTGTACTATTCCAATTGACTTTTAGAATGTGAATAACACCCTCAATGCTTTTCCTAGCATATATTAATCTTTTTCCTAGAGTGGGTTATATAAGCCATCATATTCATCCACATGTTAAAGTAATTTATTATTTATTATTTATAATTATTATAGTTATTTATTTTTTTCTTAGTTTTTAAATTTATAATTTAGATATAACAAAGTCATCCTTTAAAATATGAATTGATATTGAAAACAGGAGAAAAATGCAGATTTGCTAAGAGTACCATGCCCTTACAAGGAAAATTAGCTAATGGTATATTTCTCATCTAAGAAATATAATGATGACTAGCGCCATTTTGCTGAACGCTGTATTATTTACATAGTAAAGTTTATAAATGCTTTGCTTTGGCTAAAATAATTTTATATAGTCAGTAAAGAAAGAGTAGGCAGAGTAATATAACCATAAGACTGGACCGATTACAATTCATACAAATATTCAGATCAGATTTGACTCTGTCAAATCGTTAAACTTTTCGTACAAAATTAACGTGTCAATTTTCAGTAAATTGAAAGGTTCTTAACATCACTAAGAAAATATCTGAATATATATTTAAAATATCTGTACATACCATATTTGAAGAAGGATTGTGGCATTTTTCTTTAATATCAGTATTCATTATTATGTTTTGAGCTAAACACATATGCTTGTAAACTACAGAAAGTGCAATGTTAAACAACTGTATGAATATTAAAGGTAGCATATACATACATGTATTGTAAACAATGATAACAGATACTGTATGAATAAAATGCAATTGAGTATTTAATTTAATTATTCCTAATGATGTCTAATAAAATATTTTTGTGCAAATTACAAAATGATCGATGTCATTTTATGTATCATGTTTTTGGGATACCGAAGACAGCACATTAAAAAAAATAACTTTTTATAACAAATCAAAGCTTACAATTATAAAACATAAATTCATAAATCATTATTCAATTATTCTTATTTAAATTGAAAATGTATATCTATTGATATGTAGTGGTAGTGTTTTAATAGCTGTTAAATCCTCTACCCTTTCTGAATCTCTTATTACCTTCTATTCTTCCATTCCATATCTTCTCCCATTCTGTTTCTCACTTATCACATGCTTTCCACCTTCTGATGGGAAATGAGGGTATAACGGTTTTGTGACAATGTATGTGATCATCGTGACGAGCCAGTGAGGAATGTCCCGAGGCGGGTGGTCAGCATTCTATTGGGAACGCCGTCGGCATCGCTGCCGAAGTCGATAGCTAGGTAGATAGATTAGAGAATTATGTTTAAGTCATTACAAGAACCTCTGCACGATCCACACGA